TGGAGTGCAGTGGCTGTTTCCAGCCATTGCAGCCTCTACCTGCTGGGCTCCAGCAATCCTTCTGCCTCAGCCTTCCAAGTAACCGGAACTATAGGCATGCGCTACCATGCCCGGCTAATTTTTGATTTATTGTAGAGATGAGGTCTCGCCAAGTTGCTCGGGCGGGTCTTGAAGGGCCACTGCACTCCAGCCTAGGCGACAGGGTAAGACTCCAACTCAAACAAGAAAAAAAAAGGCATAAAAATATTTTAAAGTTTTTTTGCTAAAAAAAAAGATCTCTTAAAAATAAGAACAATTAGGGCAGGTATGGTGGCTTACACCTGTAATCCCACACCTTAGGAGGCGGAGGCTAGAGGATTGCCTGAGCCCAGGGATTCAAGACCAGCCTGAGCAACTAGGCAAGACCTCATCTCTACGATAAATCAAAAAATTAGCTAGGCATAGTGGTGTGCCCCTGTAGTTCCAGCTACTTGGAAAGCTGAGGCAGAAGGATTGCCTAAGCCCAGCAGGTTGAGGATGAGGCTGTGGTAGCTGTGAGGGTGCCATTGCACTTCAGCCTGGGCCACGGAGTAAGACATCAACTAAAAAATAATAATAATAATGCAGCCAGGCTCGGTGGCTCAGCCTGTAATCCCGTGTTTTGGGAGGCTGAGGTGAGTGGACTGCCTGAGCCCGTGGGTTCGAGACCTACCTGAGCAACTTGGCGAGACCTCATCTCTACAATAAATAAAAAATCAGCCAGACATGGTAGTGCACGCCTGTAGTTCCGGCTCCTTGGAAGGCTGAGGTGGAAGGATCGCTGGAGCCCAGCGGGTTGAGGCTGCGGTGGCCGAGAGCGGCCACTGCACTCCAGTCTGGGCGACAAAGTGAGACTCCAACTCAAAAAAAAAAAAAATTAATGCAAACAGTTAGATATAACGGCGGAAGGAAAGCCTTTCTGTGTCCTCCTTATCTGTGTGGAATATATTCCAGGACCTCCAGTGGATGCCTAAAACTGTAGATAGAATACTGATCCCTGTATATAGTATGTTTTTTCCTATACTTTTACCTTTTCACTTAAAGGAAACACTTTACAGCCTCTCTTTGGCATATCCAAAGTGCCAGCATCACTACTCTTGCACTTTGGGGCTATTATTATTAAGTAAAGTAAGGTTTGTTTGAACACAGGCACTGCTATCTGATAACCAAGTCATAGCCATTAAGTGACAACGGGCAGCAGGGTTTATAGCTTGGATACGCTGGACAAAGGGATGACTCACATCCCAGATAAGACAGAATGGGATATAGTGCAAGATTTCATCACACTACTCGTTTAAAAAAAAACTTAGCCGGGCTCGGTGGCTCAGCCTGTAATCCCGCGCCTTTGGGAGGCTG